AATGAATCAATGAATTAGCCTCTGTCCTTCCAATAGAACAATATCCAGCAATGAGAATGAACAAACTGTAATTAAATACAACAACATGGATAAAGCCCACAGGATAATGTTGAACATAAGAAGCCAGGTTAAAAAGATACATATTGTATGGTTCCTCTTTATATGAGGTTCTTAAACAGACATAACTAATCTGTCATACTAGATGGCAGGGTAGTGTGGTTAACCTTGGGAGTTGTAGTGACTGGAAGGGGCAAGAGGGGGTCTTCTGGGGAGCTAGGAATGTTCTAATTCTTGATCTGGGTACTGTTTACACCAAAAAACACCAAACCCAAATCTGTTGCTGTTGAGTTGATTCCGACTCATGGCGACCCTGTGTGTTACAGAGGAGAACTGTACTCCATAGGGTTTTCTTGGCTCTCATCTTTACAAAGGCAGATCACCAGGCCTTTTTCCATGGCACTGCTGGGTGGGTTTGAACCATCAACCTTTAGATTAGTAGTTGAATGCTTAACTGTTTTTGCCGCTCAGGGACCTGCTGTTTACACAGGTATGTGTACACGGGTATGTGTGCATTTTGTTAAAATTCCTAAAGTTGTTTATGTGTGATGTTGTTGTTGTTAGGTGCCACCGAGTCGGTTCTGACTCATAGTGACCCCATGTACAACAGAACGAAACACTGCCCGGTCCGGCGCCATCCTCACAATCGTTGCTATGTTTGAGCCCATTGTTGCAGCCACTGTGTCAATCCATTTCATCAAGGGTCTTCCTGGTTTTTGCTGACCCTCTCCCTTACCAAGTATGATGTCCTTCTCCAGGGACTGATCCCTTCTGATAACACGTCCAAAGTACGTGAGACCGAGTCTCGCCATCCTCGGTTCTAAGGAGCATCCGGGCTGCACTTCTTCTGAGACAGATTTGTTCGTTCTTCTGGCGGTCCGTGGTATATATGTATGATATGTACATAATATGTATTCTATCCCAGCAAAAATGTAGAAAAAGCATCATGTGGCTACAATGTGGCATCGACACCTTGTTTATCACCATCACACTCACTGTCACCACCAGCAGAAACAACAGCGACCAATGTTTTGAGGACAAGACCCTAAGTGCTACTTTTCCACCTGAGCAGTTAGCTCCAATCATAAAGGAACACTTGACAAGGTAAATCGGTTCCATGGAGTCCCTGAAAAGTCAAGGATACTGTCCAACGACCTGGCTTGCAGGGCTGTTCAGAAAGAGCTTGAAGGAGTCAGTGGGGGGAGTCATCTCTGGGTTCTGAGCCACCCCCTCCTCAGCACCAGAGAGGCATTTCAGTACCAGAGAGTAAGCATGGACATGTCACTTCTCTTTGCTGGACCTCAGTTTCCACCTGTGAAGTGAAGAGACTAAACTCACGGGGACGAAACCTTTTCCTCTTCTCCCAGGTGGTGGTGCCTTCCCTCCCCGAATCCTGCAGCAATGTCTGCCTTAGTCGTACACTGCCTAGCTTTGCTGTCTGAAATGTGCAGGGCCTGTTTTTCCCAGGTAGACCTTGAACTCCTAGCGGGCAGGACTGCCCCCCCCCACACCTCCCTGCATCCCTCACAACTGGAGGCCAGTCTTCCTGAGCATGAGTCATTATCTCCCTCATCCTTCTTCACCAGAATTCCCTGATACTGGGTCTAGAGTCCATTTGCACTGTCCTTCCCCCCAACCCTGGGCTGGACTTCTTCTTGCCCCAGTGCCCAGCTGGGCATGACTGGGAGATGGGGAAGAGGACAGCTAATGGGGAAGGGAGTACACAGGACCTGATCGTGGGACATTGAATCCGTCCTGTGTCTTATGTGTGCACATGTGCATGCTTATGTACATATGTGTGTGCACGTGTATGTTTATGTACATGTGCGTGTTTATGTACGTGTATGTGTATGTTTGTGTACTTATGTGTGTACATGTGTGTATTTATGTGTGTGCACGTGTATGTTTATGTACATGTGCATGTTTATGTACATGTGTACGTGTGTATGTTTATGTACGTGTGTACAGGTGTGTGTTTATGTACGTGTGTACATGTGTATGTTTGTGTACATGTGTGTGTACATGTGTGTGTTTATGTGTATGTGTACATGTGCGTGTTTATGTACGTGTGTACATGTGCGTGTTAATGTACGTGTGTACATGTCTATGTGTACATATGTGTGTACATGTGTGTATGTACATATGTGTGTACATGCGCATGTTTATGTGTGTGCATGTGTATGTTTATGTACATATGTGTGTGCCTGTGTATGTTTATGTATGTGTGTGCGTGCGTGTGTTTATGTACGTGTGTGTGTAGGATGTGAGCATTCCTGTGTTTTTTCTATGTTAAAGTATATATGAGGGTCTGAGTGTAGGTTTGCATCTAATGCCCATGCTTAAATCCATGTGCATACGATAGTATCACTGTAGGTCTGTGAATGTCAATGTGTATGTGGGTGTGGGTGTGGGAGAGAGAGCCACTGTGTGGAAAAATGTGCACGTCCACCTCTGAGTGTCAGTGAGTATGTATTCGTTCCCAGGTACCGGTATGCAAGTTGGTGCATACATGTATGGTGGTACAAAACCAGACCATTGCTGAGTTGATTCTAACCCATGGTGACCCCGTGTGTGCCAGAGTAGAACTACACTCCGGAGGGTTTTCAATGGCTGTGATCTTTTGAAAGCAGATCACCAGGCCTTTCTTCTGAGGCACCTCTGGGTGGACTCAAACTGCCATCCTTTTGGTTAGTAGCTAAGCACACAACTGCATCATTCAGGCTTCCACTGTATGGTGACACGTGTGTATATATGAGTGTCACTGTGTGTGTGTGTGTGTGTGTGTGTGTGTGTGTGTTGAGTGTTAGTGTTGTGTATAAAGGAGAGAAGAATACAGTGCCTAGTTAGGCATGCTGCCTGGCTTTAAGCCCTGAATCTAGGATGTAAGAGATATAGGCCCTTGGGTGAGCAGTTATCTTCTTTAAGCCTTGGTTCACTCAACTCTAAACTGCGGATGATAATAGTTCATATCTTTAAGGTCTAATGTGAGTGTGAAATGGTACAATGCCCATAATGCACTTAGAATAATCCTTGCTGCATAGGTCATGCTCAAAAATGTTGATTGTTACTAAGTTCTTCACGGCAATCACTACGTAAGTGGCTGTGCTCTAGGGTACAGGGCAGAATCTCTGCATGTGGAAGCACACCTTTGGGCACATGAGGCCGATGTGTGTGTTTGTTAGAGTATCTGTGTCTCCAGAGTCTGAGCATCAGTGGGTGTGTGTTTGAGGTGATCTGCACGTGAGTGTCTCTGTGTTTGGGTTCCTCCAAGATTGTGAACCATTTCAGGTCAGGGACTGTTCTCGTTTATTACTATACCCAGGCTCCTGGGCCTGGAACATAGCAGTTACTCAGTACATTTGTGTTGACCAGATGAATGAAGTAGACTTGACATTCAGAAATTGTTACTCGGATAGCATGCCCATTTGTAGACAATAAAAAACCATAACTAGATAGATAGATGATAGGTAGGTAGGTGGGTAGATACATACATACGTACAAACATAAAAACAACACCCATGGCCATTGAGTCAATTCCAACTCATAATGACCCTACAGGACAGAGGAGAACTGCCCGCTAGGGTTTCCAAGATTGTAATCTTTATGGAAGCAGAGTGCCACAGCTTTCTCCCGCGGAGTGGCTGGTGGGTTGGAAAACCCTATGGAGTGCAGGGCTACTCTACACACATGGGGTCACCATGAGTTGGAAACAACTCAATGGAATGGATTGGTATTTTGCTTGCCTGTGTTACTTGGAGTGGGTTTCTGTTTCTTGCAACCACGGTGTCTCTGAACAGCAGCCACTTTGGAAGGTCTCCTCCCAGCACTCAGTGGTCTGGCCCTGACTCCCCGCCATTTTCTCTGAGGGCAGCTTGGAAAGGCCTAATGTGTAGCTGTGGGAAGGGGAAGCATTATTTCTTTATGGTGTCTGTGTGGTGCTTTGTGAAGACTTGGTAGAAGTTTCCAGAGAGGGGCTTCACCCATCTCCCAGGCTCATTGCAGGATCGATGCATCATTTTCTGCTGGGAATCCTTGCTTAACCTTTTGGAACAAGCGCAGCCACTATTCACAACTAGAAGCGTACGCTGTCGTGACAGCGTCCCTGTCCCAAAAGCAAGCAGGGTCCAGATACCAAGGATAGTTTTTTATAGTTCAAGCAAGTCAAGGAGGTCCCCGGGTGGTGCAAATAGTTTGCGCTCAACTATTAACCTAAAGGTTGGTGGGTCAAACCCACCCAGTAGCACCATGGAAGAAAGGCCTGGCAACCTGCTTCTGTAAGATTACAGCCAAGAAAACCCTACGGGGCACAGTTCTACTCTGTAATACATGGGGTCATCATGAGTCAGAGTCTATTAGGTGGCAGTAGGTTTGGTTTTTTTGGTTTAGGCAAGTTAAAGCATGGCTGAGGTAGGGTGGGGGGCAGGAGAGCAGTGGGGACCAGGGTTCCCTGGAGCAGAGTCTCCACACCTTTATGACACAGTGACGTGGCGATTGTTGAGACCATGATGGAAATACATCAGAGGAGGCAGTGTGCAAGCAAGGATCAGTCTGTTCAATTCATCAACAGTTAGAGCAGGAGATGCTCAGGAAGGTATCCTAGGACGTGCCTCATTCCCCAACCAACCAGCCACCCCCACACCTCTCCCCTGGGGTTACAGACACGTGCGACACGTGTGGTACAGGCCAGGGCTACACTGAGGCACCAGGCAAGTGTGCTTTCACGGTCCAACCAATGAATGAGAACATCAGCCCGGGTCAAGCCAACAGGACTCCCACCATAAACAAAGAGGAAATCTACAGGCACTGAGAGGGTAGAGGGGGAAAGCTTATCCCTTTCCCCAAACCTAGCCTGGCCTTGAGTCTGTTAATACCAAGACTATCTACGTGATTTGAAGCCATTGTCAGAAGGAAGGTCAGGAGCTTCAAGGCCAGATGTCCAGCTTTCAGAACAGCCAAGCCAGTAGGACCGGCAGGAGGAGCATGGGCCAGGCCAGCAGGAAGCCTGAAATGCAAGAGAGATGATGTCAAGTGTGGGGCTTTGAAACTCAGCAGCCAAAGCGAGCTGGCCTCCCTTTCTTTGGCTGCACAGGCTGGGAAGGGTAGAGTATTCAGGGTGCCTGGTCTGGGTCAGAGATCCTGGGAGGCAGTGAACAGGTCATACGGAAGAGGCAAAGCTATCTAATTACCAAATGCTTTTTTGTTTTCTTCTGGGAACTCTGGGAGGCAATTTTTCCCAGCCTTCTTGTGCAGGTAGGTGGGGCCATGTAACTGATTTCTGGCCAATGGATCATGAGTGGAAGTCATTTCTAGGCCTGGTTCTGAAAACCTCCTCCATGACCCTCCACGCTCTCTCATCCACCGTCTAGAGAACAGAGGCAGAGTATGCAACCTAGGACTCTGAGTTACCAAAAGGTAGTGGGAACCTGAGTTCCTAATGACAGTATGGAGCAGAACTCTACCCACTCTCCAATGATTTAGTGAAAAATAAGCCTTTATTGTGTAAAACCATGGAGAATTGGGGATTGTTTGTTACAACACCTAGCATTACTTATCCTGACTCATGTTCAACAGGCAGAATAGCACAGAGGTTAAGAAGCATTGACTCTGAAGCCAGACTTCTGAGATTAGAATCCCAGCTCTTCAACTAGCTGTGCAGCCTCAGGCAAGTTATTGAACCTCTCTGTGACTGAGTTTCCCCCATACGAAAAAATAGAAATATTAGTAGCACCTATCACCTCACCTGGAAACCCTGGTGGCATAGTGTTTGAGAGCTACGGCTGCTAACCAAAAGGTCAGCAGTTCAGATCCACTAGGTGCTCCTTGGAAACCGTATGGGGCAGTTCTACTCTGTCCTATAGGGTTGCTAGGCATTGGAATCAACTCGACAGCAACGGGTTTGGTTTTGGTTTATCACCTCACTAGATTTTTGTAAGGCTTAAATTAATGAATTCAAACAATCCTTTAGAGCAGTGGGTGACACCTGGTAAACACTGTATGTGGTTTGATTGTTGTTAGCTGCCGTCCAGTTGGTCCCCGACTCACGGTGACCCCATGCACAATAGGCTCTAACCTTTGTGATCCATAGTGTTTTCATTGGCTGATTTTCGAAAGTAGATCACTAGGCCTTTCTTCCTAGTCCATCTTAGTCTGCAAGCTCTGCTGAAACCTGTTCAGCACCGCAGCAAAACTCAAACCCCCACTAACGGATGGGTGGTGGCTGTGCATGAGGTGCGTTGTCCGGGATTCAAATTCAAGTCTCCTGCCTAGAAGGCAAGAATTCTACCACTTAACCACCACTGCCTCAAACATCACATAAAAAACAAAACAAAACAAAACCCAAACCTGTTGCTGTTGAGTTGATTCTGACTCATAACAACCCAATAAGACAGAGTAGAACTGCCCTCATAGGGTTTCCAAGCAGCGCCTGGTGTATTCGAACTGCCAACCTTTTGGTTAGCAGACAAAGTCTTAATCACTATGCCACCAGGGTTTCCAAACATCACATAAGTGTTGGTATATTGGTTTTGAAAATTTGACTCAAAGGTCTGGGAGGGCTGGGATCATATCTGTTTTGCAATTCATTATATCACCAGTAAGCAGCCCTAGTGGCGCCATGGTTAAGCACCCAGCTACCAACCTACCAGGGCTCCTTCCTCCTTCCAGAAGATTCCACAATCTACCACCCACCCTAGAAATAAGTCAATTTGGCAAACACTATTGGGAAGCCATCCTGTACCAGGCACTGTGTTAATCTCAAGGACTGGCAGAAATGATCTTGAGGTCCCTGCCCTCAAGCTACTTACTGTCTGGGCTCTAACCATTCTCTCCAACTTTTATCAGCATATTGCAATATTGGCACTAAGCATGGAGAAGCCATCTTGGACTTATCTGGAAATTTTTATTCTCCTATCTAGTTGGAAGCTGGAGGATGGGAAGAACTTTTTCATGTTTAGGTTCACCAACAGAGGTCATTTTGGGAGGTAGCAAGACCTTACTAGCATATGCTTTCCATTTTATCCAAAATACATTTCCTGGATTTGTCAGCCTGTTGAACTCCACTTCATCCATCAAAACCCCATTCAGAGTTACCACCTGCTGAAAATTTTTTCTAACCTTGGTTGATTACTCTTCTCTGCGCTCCTTCTGCATCATCTATTTGCTTATCCTTAATTTGCTTATGCGTCTTTCTTAATTTTGCAATTCTTGTTCCCTCTACCTGTAAGGCTTGTCCCACAAGTATGCGTACATGTGAATCCTTTTTATCATTTGGTTCAGATATCACCTCCTCTGAAAGTTTCTCTGACCTCTTATCCATTCTGATGATGAATTATCCATGCACCATTCTTCCTTCCTTCCTTGGTAATAGAAACATCACACATCGGTTGGGCACATGGCCACCCAGAATAAAGCTTACATTTCCCAGCTTCCTCTGCAGCCAGTGTGGCCATGTGACTAAACACTGGCCAATGAGATGTGCATAGAGGTATGAGGTGCTTGCTTCCAGGAATGTTCCTTAACATAACATCCACTTCTTTCAGGTTTCCTTCACCCTGTTGCCTAGATGTGAAGGCTGGAAGTCCAGCTGCCATCTTGAACCATGAGGATGAAAGCCACACCTTAATATGGGTGGAGAGGTGAGCTGGAAGCAGCCTGGATCCTTGATGACTTTGAGTGCCACCATATTATCCTGGATTGTTTGCCTTTGGACTTCATTTACTCGAGGGAGGAATAAACTTCTGTCTTATTTAAAGCACTATTACCTATGCCAGTAACTTTCCGTTACATCACCCTCTTTTATTTCTTCAGCACACTTATCACTATCTAAGTTACCTTGTTTACTTTTCATTGTCTGTTTCCCACACTGCAAGACAAGCTCCATGAGGACAGGTGCCTGGTCTGTCTTGTTCACCATTATATTCTCAGTGTCTAGAACAATGCGGGCATACACTAGGCACTCAGTAAATACTTGCTGTTAAATAACTGCCTCCTCTTTTAGGCTGTAAGCATCTCAAGACCCAAAGTCTTAGGTCTGATTACTTCCAGCGTCCACAGTCTCTGACATGGGGCCTGGCACACAGAAGGAGCTGAATAGATGTGCACTGAATTGAAAGAGTCGGGAGAGGGAGCTGGGAGGGGTATGGGATTGGCAGGAGACAATGGTGTACCTTTGGTGCTGGGGGCTCCACTCATGACACCAGGCAACTGGGCACCTGTGAACACAAGCAAAAGGTGAGGGTTCCTTGGCCACTCTCCAATCACTGTGGCCCATCACTGTAGCTGCTCCAAGTTCTCCTAAATCTGGTCATCGCAACCACTGACAATTAACATTTCAGAGGCATCCGTTCATTTGACAGGCACCTTTCTAAACATGTTTCATGTGTTTGAAACTTAATCCTCCTAACAAATTTGCAAGGGAAGTATTCTCACCCCCATTGGATAGATGAGACCACTGAGGCTCAGCAACGTTAAGTGATTTGCCAAGCTGACACTGCCAGTAAGGAGCAGAGCTGGAACTTGAACCCCAGTCTGTCTGTTCCAAAGGGGAAGTTTCCTACCCTCCCGCTACCCTGTGACACTACACGAGGCTTCAGGTTGAGGTCTCAGTGAAGGGGCAAGGGTAGAGCCTTCTTCAAGAGGCAGGCGACTTGAGCCTCAGTTCACTCATCTGGAAAATGGGAGCGGTAATAGTTCTTAGCTCCTACAGCTGCGTGAGCATATAAATGTGATATGCTGTGATACACAGGCAGTCACCGGATTACGAACATCTGACTTACCTACAACTCATAGTTACAAACCAACCCCCGTCAAGCTTATGATATGAAAACTTCGAGGTACATAAAATAGTTCATGATAACAAATGGGCCCTACTTGGCAATGTGCATCAAAACATTATTATTATTACTGTATTATTCAGTTAAAGATGTTTTAGTGTATCTGAAAGTGTTTCTTTAATGTTTGTATGCATGGAAAGGTACACTATATGCTGTATACTACAACAAACATTTGACTAACTGACATTAGATACAAACCGTACCTAACTGTTCCAACTTATGGACAAATTCGATTTAAAGACAGATTTAGGAACAGAACTTGTTCATAATCCGGGGACTACCTGTACATATAATGGTGTTTGGTATGGTGCCAGACACACACACAAAAAAATGCTTTCATTCTTTTGGATTTCTGGACTCCTCCATAAAAACCGTGACAGTACTCCTAACTCACGGGTGGGATGGATGAAAATTTGAGAACAAGTTTGAAAAATTTTGTACGCGATGATCCAGAATACTCTAACTGGATTTTGAAAAACACAGCCTTTCATCAAAAAGCAACGTTGCATTTAAGTGGGAGTTAGGACTCGGATGTCACCGAAAAGGGGTTGAGTTAATGGAGACTTGGGAGAGGGTGGGAGAAGGAAAAACCATGAGCTTTGGAATCAGACAGAGCTGGGTTCAAGCCTAACTCCAGCCACTCGCGAGCTGGCTGATCTTGGGTGAGTCATGTAATCTCTCTGAGCCTCAGTTTCTCACCTGTAAAATGGACACAGCTATGCCTCTCTTAGGAGGAGTAAGAGAACCAATGGATGCAGAGTGCTCAGTGTGGTCTCTGGCACACAGGAAGGCCACCATAAATGCATCTCATGGGAAGATAGATCCCCCAGAGGCTGTACTGAGGAGGCAGAAAGGCCCTGGGCAGGTGGGCTGGTGACCCTGGGCACCTGTAGGTTAACTGTCAGTACTTGGCCAGCCGACCCTTGTCGCCAGGACTCGGTCCACTTACCTTTCCGAGTGATGGGTCCCAAATCTAGAACACGGGCTGGGTCAATGGCCACTACATCATTGAGGCGTCTCGAGCATGACTGTGGGGGTGGAAAGCTCCCATTATATCAAAACCTAAATGCACAGTCGCTCTCCAGACTGCCCTTGAGGTGAGCAACTCTAGCCTAAGAACTGGGCCCCACACACCAAACAGCCCTAACTCTGATGCCGTGGTTATCTTAATCTAGAGAATTCCAAACTTCATGCCAAACAAACCCAGCTTTGAATCTTATTTCTACTATCTTTTATCTGTATAATTTTAGGCAAATGAGTTCTTCTCTCTGAGCCTCAGTTTCCTTGTCTATTAAATGAGGGTAATTATAGTACCTCCCTGCCTTGATGATTAAAATGAGGTATGTTAGCAACACACTTAGCACAGTGCACAGACACCTAGTAAGCATTCAACAAATGCCAACTATTAGGAGTCAGTGCCAAATAGGGGTTAAAAGCAGGGGCACTGGGGTCAGGCTGCCTGGGGACATATCTCAGCTCTGCTACTTTCTAACTCTGTGACCTCAATTTCATCTGTACAATTAAAAAAAAAAAAAAAAAACCAAACCCATTGCCATTGAGTTGATTCTGACTCACAGTGACCCTACAGGACAAAGTAGAACCGCCCCATAGGGTTTCCAAGGAGCGGCTGGCGGGTTCACACTGCCGACCTTTTGGTTAGCAGCCGAGCTCTTAACCACAGTGCCACCAGGGCTCCCGTCTGTACAATGGGGTTGATAAAAGAAACTACTTAAAAGATTGTAGTGAGAATTAAATTACATATGACATGTAAAAGTTTTAGCACAGCTCTTGACACACAAAAGGTCTATTATTATAATCATTTAAAATATGTCTGTGACAAGGAAACCTAATGAAGAGGCTCCTACATCTGATCTGCCTCCTGAGGACACAAGAATGGCTTACACATGGGCTTTTAGGAGGCCTAACGTCCATCCATCTATCCTTGCTTCCTCTCTCTCTCTCTACCTCCCATCAATCTATCTACCCATCCATCTTTCATCTCTCCTGCCTTCCTTCCTTCCATCCATCCTTTCTTCTTTCATTCCTTTCTCTCTTCCTTCCTTCCTTCTTTCCATCCTTCCTTCTTTCTCTCCCTCCTTCCTTCTTTCCTTCTTTCCCTCCTTCCATCTATTCATCAATCCACCCACCTACCCATCCGTAATTCCAATAAATACTTATGGATAGCCCACCAAGTGCCAGGCCCCATGCCAGGCTTTGAACAGTCCAGTCCAAAGAGACACTCACCGGCTGGCATTGCTCATTAAGGAAATCGCAGAGATGAACCTCACAGTGAAGGAAAACTAGGTCATAATTGCCTGCAAACATGAACATCTGAACGGAGAACCGGCTTTCCGGGGACACCCCATTCTCCTCCACATGGATAGTGGAATCCTGTAGATTTGGGCAGCTGGGAGGATGACAGGGGCAAGAATCTAACTTCTAGAACAGCTTGAGGGACCTGAGGCCCTCAGCTGTACCTTTAATCTCTATGCAGTATAAAAACAGCATCAGAGAGAATTAAAGAGCCACCCAGGTTCCCTCCATCATGACGACATGGCCTTTTTCTATGTCTCTATGTTTACTCCAAGATATTACCTATAAACTCACACGGTTTAAGTTATTAGGGGCACAGTCTCTGGAGGGAGACAAACTGGCTTCAAATTCCAGCCCTGGCCACCTTCTAGCTAAGTGATAATGAGCAAATTACTCGACCTTGCTGAGCCTCAATTTTCTTATCTGTAAAGTAGAGACAGTAACATCCACCTCACAGCATTGATGTGAGCATTTAATGAAATAATCCATGTATATTTCTCAGTACAGTGCTTGTACATAGTTAAGCTCAGTGATAGATATTAGTATTATTAGTATGTTTTGAATAATAATCTATAAATATGCATTTTCTTTGGTTTTGTCAATTAATTATATTTTTAATAATATTGTGTTCCACAACATTTTCCGTATTGTTTCTATGTTGATAGGTGCTAATATCTACATAATATTCCATCATTACTTAATTAATCCCCTATTTTCAGACATGAACCTATTGCCAAAGGCATAAAAGATACCAAAATGAAAAATAATTGGCATTTCTTTCCCTTGCCTACCTCTTTTATATTAATGCTTCAGAATAAAATCTCAGGAGTGATACTCCTGGGTCAAGGGATGTGGTCATGATATGTAACACCAAATTAATTTTCCAGAAGAGATAAACTAATCTACACAACTGCCAGACATGGATAAAGTGAACATTTCCTCCTAAACGTAATTAAGGCAAAAATATGACCCCAAAGTTACCCAGTACCTGTTTCTGATGATGAAATATTTCACAGGGTCATCCTTGTCTTTAGTGGGTGTGGCATAGCAGTTCTTCAACAACAGGTTAAACCGGGAGGTGTCCCCGGTATCCAAGATGGCGCCCACATAGAGTATGGATTCAACAGACAGCACAGCTGTGGTCCCTTCGTAAGGGGACGTGTAGTTCTGGTCTTGGAAAAGGGCCATCCTAACAATGAACTCTCCTTCCCCATCCACACTGATGTTCAGGGAACTGAGAAAAGGAAAACCACAAGAGTGGAAATATTAGGTCTTAACCTGAGGGAGCAAAATAAATCAAGCCCCTCATGTGTAGAAGTTCATGGAGGAAAGGAATATCTTTGATCTGTAAATGAACTATTCGGTCATTCATTTAAACTGAGTATCTGCTAGCTTCTAGGCACCAGACTAAGGAGCCCCGGTGGCACGGTGGTTAAGGGCTCAGCTGCTAACCGAAAGGTCAATGGTTTGAGCCCATCAGCCACTCCTCGGGAGAAAGGTGTAGCAATCTGCTTTTATAAAGATTACAGCCTAGGAAACGCTATGGGGCAGTTCTACTCCATCCTGTAGGGTCGTCAGAATCGACTTGATGGCAACAGGTTGTTCTGGAGGCACAAACTTGAGTCAGAATTGACTCAACGGCAACGGGTTTGGTTTTGGGGTTCAGGGAAACTTGACGAACATAGAGTCTGTCTCCATGATTTCTGTCAATCCTCCCGGCAGCACAGGTCAAACCTATCTCTGTCATTCAAAGAGTAACTTGAAGTACAGACCTTGTCGTCTTCTCTGTAGAATGGAGCTGAGAACTAGTTTTGTGGATGCACAATTTATTTTTAGCAGCAGATCTCTCCACCTCCATAATCTTCAGTGAAACACCAATTTTAACAAGATTAAAAGAAACCAGACTAGTTGCCCTTGAGTCTATTATGACTCATGGCAACCCCAGGCATTTCAGAGTAGAACTTTGCTCCATAGAGTTTTCAATAGCTGTGAGTCTTCAGAAGTAGATCTCCAGGCCTTTCTTCTGAAGCGTCTCTGGATGGATTCGAATCGCCAACCTCTCGGTTAGTAGCCAAGCGCTTAACCATTTACGCCACCCGGGGGCTCCTTTTAACAAGGTCGGTGGCTTTAATTTTTACTTTTTATGAACTTTGAGCCCCAACACAATACAGTCTGAAAACCACAGAACTGGAAAATTTCTAAAGATCCTTCTGATCCTGCCACTCCCTGAATCCAGGAGGCAATGAGGAAATGGGAAGGGCACCCTGGATTTCTCAACTTCTGACATCCCAGAAAGTCCCCTGGAAAGTCTAAGAATTAGAAGGAATTCGTTCAGCTCCAAGCACTGGAGATACAGCAGTGAACAAAACAGACAAAAATCCTTGCCCACATGTACTCGCCTCCAAACTGTCATTTGGTCCTGTTTCTGGTGTGGGTGGGGTGCTATTTATCCAATCAAATAATTTTCTTAAAAGCAAGATGCAGGGTATTCTGGCCTCGGCTTAAATTCCACACCTGCAGGGAAGCCTTCTCACCCCCACCACCCCCAACCGCAAGTTTAGGTCAGGAAATCTTGCTCCCTGCTCCCAAAGCACCCCATGTTTCTCCCGCATAGCATTCATTTCACCTGTAAATGATTATTGGCATAATTAGTTGTTTAATGCCTTCATCCCCAAGATGAATGTACTTGTCCTGTGTTTTTGTCCCGTAGCCCACTTAACAAACACTGTTTCATATTGCTGCACTGCTTCATAATAATAATCTTTAACGTCCACGTATTATTCTATGTCTGCTTTGTTCATACTGAACATCCTTAATATACGATTAACAAATACTTGTGGAATGGTTGATTGAATGAATGAAAGGAGGCTGGGAGTGTTCCAACGGTATCCCATACTGTGCTTGAAGTGGGTGTGGTCAATGTCACAGTTACAGCCAAAGGGCAAGGGTCAATGCTGTACCTTACGATGGGCTGCAGGGCAGTCTGGAGGCTGACTTTCATGTCCAGTGGGTAGGCACACTGAAAGTTGATGTTGAGGATGGTGTCTCTGATGATGAAATTGTTGACCAAGTAGAACGTGTTACTATAGATGGCATGGGTTTGATTTCTCTTTGGCAGAAAAATAAAACCACATACATGTTCACGTAAGTGTGTGCGTTGATGAAGCTCAGGCTCAGATGTTTCTGGCTCCAGAACCAGTGCTCTCAACCATTCTGCCACACTGCCTGTTGATCTCAAGGAGGTCAATGGGACTCCCTACCCAATGGCATTGACTTTTTATGGGGAAGGGAGTGAGGACCCAGGTCAAAAGCTAGAACAATAAATTACCGACCCTGGGGAAGAGTCAGGAACCACTGTACTTGCTCCTCTGTTGACCCCTCCCAAATCATCTCTAATTAAAATAATCATAATCTTAGATTACAGTCATTGAGCTCAAGTGTCATACCTGTCCTAAGCTCTTTACATGGACCACCATGTTTAATCTTAGATAATCCTAAAGGACTAAAAGGCTAAGTGATTTACCCAAGTCTTATAGTTCCTGCATGGGAGAGCCCAGCAGCCCCCCTCTCACCGTTCTGCCAGCAATGCTTTGAACACCGCTCACCTCCAGGATGTTCCCGCAGGCACCAGCCTGGGCAGGGCTGGTCACAGACAGCCAGTTCCTCTCCTCCCACTGCAGGATGCTGCTGCAGTTCCGGTCCCGCAGGTAGGCAATGACCTCTTCCCCAAAGCCCAGGCCTTGCAGTTGACACTTGCCCAGTGACACTTTGATCTCTTTGGCCCCGCAGTCCAGCTGAGGCTGTAGACTGTGGACATCTGGAAAGCCGAGAGGGGGTAAGGGGCGTGGACAGTGGAAAGACCCTACATTCTCGGACCTTTGGTAAAGCCACTGTGCCCACAAGGAGATGGGTAAGCTGGAAGGGACCCAGATAGCATTCACACGTGGGCTGGTGGCTAGGTGAGGTTGGCAAAGAAGCCTCTGGTCCAAGATTTCCAAGCATACTGTATGTGCAGACTTGGCTAGGGTTTTTGTGCCTGGTCCCTCTTGGGGACTGGGATTTTTCTAGTCTGCATTGCAGACTAGACTCAAAGTTAGCTACATATTGCTCCTACTTCCTATCTTTGTGAAGCCAGCTCAGCTGACCAGGTTCAGAGCCATCCTATTCATTCATTCATTCAAACATTTATTCAACAAATATTGCTTGAAGATGTACTATCTTCCAGGCTCTGTTCTAGGCACTGGGGATACAGCGCTTATCAAAACCAACAAAATCTCAACCCATATGAAACTTATATTCTGATAGGGGAAGACAGTAAACAAATAGAAATACATTTAATTAATTCATGGATGCATTGATTCAACATACACTTACTAACCACCTCCTCCACGTGCTAGGCTCATTCAACACAAAAATAAAGTATGCACCGTGCCCATCGAGATTCCTTGGCCTTGTGTAAAAACTAACCTACTAACAGCTTATTACAATTCAATATGATGAAAGTACTAATAGAAGTATGTTCCAGGTGTGTGGGGTGGGGGTTGGGAGAGCATGACCCAGAAGGTACATATAAGTCTGTTGGCTAAGTCAGAGAAAGATTCCTAAGGGTTGGATCTTGGTAGTGGGTAGGAGTTTTAAAGATGAATAGAGGAAGTGAAGACATTCCAGGCTCAGGGAACTGCGGAGGCAAAGGCATGGAGGTGTTGGTGAGAGGATGGTGTGTTTGTAGAAGGTCAGAGAGCGCAGAGTTCAGAGGTACAGGAACTTAGAGTGGGAGGGACCGAGCTGTGGGACATAGAGAAGAAAGAAAAGCCAGATCATAAAGGGATTGTGTCTGGAAAACAATAGGGACCCATGGAACAGCTATTTCAGCCAAGAAGAACTGCCAAGGATGCCAGTTACAGGTGGGTTTCCTCAAAGCCCAACCTCTGAATCCGACCCTCTGAGGACTCATCCACCCAGTAAGCTACTACATGGCAAACCCAGGACTGGACAGGAGACTGTCCATGTCCCTGACATGAAGGTTCTGCAGACATTTGAACTTATCTCCCACACTGGCAGAGTTCTTGTCCCCAGTCCCTTTGACTGTCCCTCATGGGTCAAGCCCACCCATGCCAGCGCCCTTTTCCACAGCCTTGGTTTCAGCTGCAGGCCTGGCTCTTTTTCCATCCCTGCCCTCTCATCCTTGCAAACCCACTGGCTTCATATCATCTGGAATAGAGAACCAAATTCCCTTGACCTTAGTTCCATGTCTCCTTCTCTGGTCCATACCTTGTCCTGACCCTCTGAAGCTCCCTCCCTCCTGCCTCACCCCCAGGCCCTGCCCACCCAGGAAGGCAGCCACAGCCCCACTCCCCTGCCCAGACCCTGCTGAATCGCTCACCAGAGCTGTTGAGGTCCTGCCTGCAGAAACAGCCCCAGACACCATCGTGCAAGCGGCACTCCTCCTCAGAGCGGCAGGACTCTTCACACTTGTCCTGCACGGTGGAGGGGTCTGGTTGTATCAGGGAGGAGGCATGGAGAGAGAAGATCAGGAAGCAGGGCAGGGCAGGACCCGAGGTCACTAAGTCCAACCTTCTCATTCCTCCGAGGCCCAGAAATCTTTCCCAAGGTCGGGTGATAGTAAGTGGAATGGCCAAGCCTCAAGCTCAGACTTCCTGACCCCGAATCCAGTGGAGTAAATGAGAACCCCAGAGCTGCCATCTTAATGATGACTACGTGCCCAGCACTATTCTAAGCCCTTTCCATGGGTTAGCTTATTCAATCCTCACTATAACTATATGAGACAGTGTAGCAGAGTGGTTAAGCACATGGATGCTGGGGCTAGATTGCCTGGGTTCAAATCCCAGCTCTGCTAGATTCCAGCTCTGTGATGTTGGGGAAGTTACTTAACCTCTCTGTGCCCCAGATTACTCACCTGGGATAATTAGGGCCCCTATCTCATGAAGTTGGTGGGATGATTAAATTAGTATGTCTAAAGTGCTTCTTCAAATAGTAGCAGGGGCATTGTAAGCACTATGTAATAGCTGTTCCTTTTGCCATTACCCATTTTTCAGATCAGAAAACTGAGGCTCAGAGAAGTAAATTAAACTTCCCAAAATGGAACAGGTATCCAAAAGAGCTTGAGTTCTTAATGTCATGCCATACAATGTTTATAAATCAATTTCACCCCTGAATCATGAGCTTCTGGCTTTACTTGAAATGTTGGAAGACCTGACAACCCTTGGGCTATGATCACCTTGAGCAGGAACTGGAGAGCTGAGCTGAGGCGTTTTGTGTCGTCTACTCTTAGCCTGGAGCGCCGGTGGCGTGGTGGTTAAGAACTCAGGCTGCTAACCCAAAGGCCGGCAGTTTGAATCCACCAGCGGCTCCGTGGAAACGCTATGGGGCAGTTCTACTCTGTCTTATACGGTGGCTGTCAGTCAGAATCGAATAGACGGCATGCGTGTTGTTGTTTTTTTTTTTAACTCTTGACCTGTTCCACTCAAACCCTACTGACCCCTGGACATTTCACTGGGTGGTCCTGGCCTGTAGCTGCCCCCAGGCCTCCGCTGCTTACCTGTGCAATATCTCAGGTCACAGTCAGGCGTGCCGTCCAACCTGTACACGTAATACCCATCAGGACAGGCCTTCACTGACACCTCCTTATTCCAGAGGCAGCAATTTTCACTCCAGTGGGCACAAGCAGTGCGGGTGACAATGCCTTCCTCAAGGGAAGGGTGGGTCCCGTTCAGCCACATGGGAGCAGCCGTCTGGCACCGGAACATCGGGACACAGGTCTCCGGTATCTGGACTCCCCCTGCACCCACAAAGCGGTACCAGCCTTGCAGGTTCTTATCACACGACTGGACATCTTCTGTGTTCTCTGTGCTTCTGGAGGGTTCATCCAACACGGTGTAATTCTGGCAGGGGTCAAAACAGACTTCGGCCTCTGGGGTGCCAGGGGCTCCACACTCCACGTCCAGCCCATAAGAACTGGCTTTGGTAAGGTTTCTGGTACCTGGGAAAGTGCCAGATTGTACTCGGGTTAACTGAACAATCCCAAAGCCTACTGGGCCTTTATCCCCCTCACACAGACATTATTCTGGAAATGCTGAGGACCCTTGGATACTCTGGTGGCATAGGGTCAGTGAAAAAGAGGAAGACCCTCAACAAGATGGATTGACACAGTGGCTGCAACAATGGGCTCAAGCATAACAACGATCATGAGGATGGCGCAGGACCAGACAATTGTTTGTTCTGTTATACACAGAGTGGCTATGAGGCGAAACCGACTTGATGGCACCTAACAACAACAACAACAACGGCCCTAAACGGAGTCCCTAGGTGGTGCAGATTGTTAAGCACTTGGCTACTGGCTACTGAGTGAAAGGCTGGGCGTTCGATCCCACCCAGAGGCACCTCAGATGAAAAGCCTGGCAATCTGCTTCCCCAAGGTCACAGTCATGAAAACCCTATGGAGCACGGTTCTACTCTGCACACATGAGGTCACCATGAGTCGGAACGGACTGGATGGCAACCGCTGCTGGTGGTAAAGACCTTAATGAGGTCAACAGCCACGCAGTCCATGCACTAACCATCAAAGTCCATCACCTTGGGGTCAGAATCATCCGTGAGGGCTTTGGGTAGTATTTTATAAGCATTAAAGCCATCAAGGCCACCTCTCTGCACAACCCCAGGGGGCATCATTCAATTGAGCTTGTGAATGGCGCCCCCTGGAGTGTGCACAGCTCCCTGTTCCACCACACATGGCAGCCGGCTTGACCTGCCTTTTTATCCAGTACTTGTATTTCCCATTATAAGGGTAATACAGGCTCACTGGGGAAAAAAAAAAAACAAGCATCATTAAAATAAATAAAGTAGAAATGAAAGTTGTCATAATCCCATCCCAAGCCAAGTAACCATAAATTTGTTCTATAGTCTTCTGATTCCTGCTACACAAAGTTTAAAATACAGGCTATTTTAAAAAACAAAATCAGAAACGGATTCAGTGCTATACAGCTTCTCTTTCCCACTTGGGTCTTTATTTAATATATTGTAGACATTTTTCAATATCTGTGGATACAGATTTAGTACAGGATTTCTCAGCCTTGGCACTATTGACATTTTGGACTGGATAAATCTCTTTGTTGGAAGCTGTCCTGTGCATTGTAGGATGTTCAGGAGCAATGCTGGCCTCCACCCACTAGATGCCAGTAGCACCACCCTCCATCCCAGGTTGTGGCAACCAAAAATGTCTCCTAGCGTTGCCAAACTTCCCCTGGGGAGCAAAATCACCCCTAGCTGTGAACCATTGATCTAATAGAGCCATTTTCTGATTGCTAATCTTCTGTGGTTTTTAACAGTTTCAAGGATTGTGATACACTCTTTTAAATGCACAAAGAGACAGATGTGAAAGGGAAAGACCACAGGTGTTGGGGCTGGCAGACGATTTGACTCCCCTGAGACTCATCTGCAAAACAACACCTGCGAGCACAGGGCTCCCAGCTTCACCCATTCCCATGCCCTGGGTCATGATGTTTGCCACATCCGTGCGTACTTGTCCTGTTACTTACTTACAATGTTTCTTTCAACGATTCTTTTTTATAACGTTTTGTCCTAAAAAGTAATATCTGTGAAACCACAGACATGATGTACTAGTTATATATATTTTTTCTATTACACACAAAAGTAATTATATAGATACTGTTTTTTTTTTTTAAGCTTATCCATGCACCCCTAGAGTCATCTTGGGCTATGTATGCCCCATTTGGGGAAATACAGTCTTAAAGGATTGTTAGAGAATTAAATGAGATAATATGTATTAAATGCCAAGCAAAGAGCTGGGGTCATGGAATTCCAGCTAGTTCTCTTTTCTAATTCTGATTTGTTGAAGAGTGTGGGTGCCTGAATGATGGTTTAAGCCCACAGACGTGGTATCAAAGAATAGGCAAATCCACAGAGACAGAAAGTGTATTTGTGGTTGCCAGAGGCTGGGAGGAGAGGGCAATGTGTCCATGTGGGAGGGGGGTGACTGTTTCATGGGTCCAGGGTTTCTGTTTGGAGTGATGGGTAAAAACTAGATAGCAGTGATGGTTGCACAGCATCATGAATGGATGTAATGTCATGGAATTGTACCCTTCAGAATGGTTAAAAGGGTAAGTTTCATGTTATGTGTATTTTACCGCAACAACAAAGAGAGAGGTTTTCAAGCCTCGCTCATGTTTGTGCTTACGTTAAGGAAAGGTGTCTCGACACCTGTTGTTCTTGGATGATTTCCTGCAGGCTCTGTACTTTCCCACCAGAGGCCTTGAGCTCAAACACTGCCCCCCCACAGGTGACATGAGCTCAAACCCCCCCCCCCCACCCACACACACAGGTGACATGGGCAGAAACGTTCCCCTGATGTCAAGCCTGAGAATACTTTGTATAAGCATCTAAGATGCCCAAATCCTAGAACATCTGTGGAAAGGCCATAGAGAGATCATCCAATCTAGTCCTTTCATTTTACAGATAAGCAAATGGATACCCAGGAAGGGGAAGGCACTTGCCGAAACAAGCGGACACAGTGACAGAGTGGCCGAGAGAGGAATGCAACCAAATCTTTCGGTTCTCAGTCCTTTGCCGTCTATAATCATTCATTTATTAATCTTCTCCAACCAGGGGTCTCCAACCTCTCCCACACCTGAGCAGAGGTTAGATCATCGGCTCCCACTGCCCTTTGAGGGTGATTTCTGATTTGGCCCTTGACTCTTTGAGGGATTATGACTTATCCCAGTTCCTACCACCACATTTCTCCTGACCTCTAGCCTCTGAGTCTCAGCTTTAGACCAGCCCCCTTCTCTCACTGACCCTGAACTTTCTTCTCTGAACCTCCGCATTCACTCTACAGCTCTTGCTGGGCGTCTGAGATGCCCCGGTGAGCACAGCACTCACCTGGCTGCTCTGCAGACACCAAGGTCAGAAGGCAGGAAGCCAAGGTCAGCCACAGGAGTCCAGAGCCCTCCATCCTTGGCATACGCTAAGGCGTGCAGGTCACTCAGCAGTGTGTAGACTCTTTCTGCAGCTATGGGAAGGGAAAGACCAGTTAGGACCAGGGCAACGACCTCTGGGTGTGAGGGCGAGAAGGGAACTCACATCAGTGGAGCACCTACTCTATGACACGCCTTGTACTAAGCCCCTTATGCATCTCATCTCATTTCAGGCTCTCTGATAACATATTCATGATATTCCTATCTACAAGGAAAGTACTATTATCACCCTATTTTACAGATGAAGAAGCCAAGATAGAGAGAACATTAATCCAATAAGTATTTACTGAGCCTCTCTGACGTGCAAGTACTGTGCTAAAAGTTAAATAGCTTGCTTCGTGCCAAAGGTCCATGTTTTCAGAAACAAAACCTTTGATGTCTTTCATGAATGATTGTATTGTTTTAAAGCAGGCCCGACTTAGAGAAAGAAAGTGGGAGGTAGGAGACTGGCCGAAGGGGTGAAGTTGACAGAAAGAAAACCAAAGGCAAGCTTGGAGCTGGCCAGTACTGCAGAATGTCCTTTAAATTTCTCAGGATGGTCCCTGCTTGGGTGTGAGGTAGAAGCTCTCTGGAGATTAGATGGAGGAGGGTTATGGTGCCCGTGAGTACCTACAGACAAAAGTAGTGGCTGTCCTTTCTTGGATCTATGCCTCAGACACAGAATAAATTGGAAACAAAGTCATAATCCCATGAGAGTTGACATAATCCAACAGCCTCCAGAGAAGTCTTCTACGTGTGTAGATTTCCATGAGGGCAGGATCATGTCAGACCAAATCCCATGTCTCTTGCACTTAGCGCAGTACCAGGCACACAAGTGGTGCTCAATAAAGTTGAGGGATGAGTGAATAAATAAAGGGGGGATGGAAACACAAAGAGCAATGAGAATTACCCACGCTCAAATCACAGTTCTTCTTCTGGAAACCTGTTACCCAGGATGGGCAAATCTTTGGATGACTTCTTATAGCCTCCAGAAGATTTCAGTTGAAGATAGAGAGCTGCTTCTGGAAGCGATATCATGAATCTGTGATCAGAGAGCAGGGACAGAAGGGCACCCAGCACTGGTACCTCTTGGAGAGGAGATCCCAAGTAGATGCCTATCTTCCTGGGTAAGACACGGCACCTGTAGGCCTGGCACACCAGCAGGCATCTAGAATGATGGGCTGAACTGCACATAGAGTGATATCTGGAGCACTTGACAGTGGCCAGGGTCCAAACTCCTTGCTGGGTCCTAAACATGTCCAGAAACAAACAAGCCCAGCAAGTCCAGTGGGTCAAGGAAGAAAGCCCCTCAGGAGAAAGTCTGCTGAGACTTGGAGCAGGACTTACCTTGGGGTCAGATCACAGAGCATAGGAGGGAGGCGCTCCTCCTCTGGCTAGCCATGGGAAAGCAAGCTTGCTGTGGGCTGTCCTTTTATTGCAATCTCCCACCAATGTGGCTCTCCACGATTGGTGCTGAGGTATGACTCAAGTTAATCTAGGAGGCATATGCCAGGCTTGCTGAGTACTGTGAGATAAGCAATTTACTGCAAAGAATGGTGAAAGAAGCACCCTTTGCCACCACCACTCCAATGTAAACCCTTCCAGCAGTCTAACTTTCATCCAAAACTTCCCTAAGAACAACAGCAGTATGTCCTGAGTGTTGACCATACTGGGCGTTGATGACTGCTTTGCACTCATCACTTCATGTTTAATCCTCACAATAAACCAAGGAAGCTGGTACTGTATTTACTACCGAAAACAAAACACTAATTAATCAAAAGGAAGCTTAATATTTAAAGGGAAGTGGAGAAAAATCAAACAGGGACTTTTTTGTACAAGGGATTTTCAACTGTACCTTGTGCTCTTGGCTAATCACCTTCGAATCTTCTGCCTCTGTCTGGAGGCCACTTAGCTTTGGACTAGTTAAAACCAGGGAATAAATAAAGAAAGGGGAATGGGCGTCTCCCGCACTTGACCCATAGAATCTACCCAGTTTTAGATACTTAATGTTGAGGAGTCTTGAAAATGGTCAACTTAATGATGGTGAATTATGAGGTGGCAAAGGATAGACAAGGCTTCAGGGCAAAATAAGCATCAGAATAGCCTCTTCTCCAATCCCCTTTGATAGGCTGGCTATCCTAGAGATTAGAAGGTGTGGAACTGAGAGGAGGCTGTAAAACACTAGACTTTGAAATCCAGGCTTGGACTTGAATTTTATGGCATGGTAGATGTTGTGGGGTTGGTAAAAGAGCCAAAGCTTTGACAAAACAAATGGCTACTGCCTTGTCTTAGTTATCCAGTTCTCCGATAACAGAAATACCACAAGTGGATGGCTTTAACAAACAGAAATTTATTCTCTCACAGTCTAGGAGGCTAGACGTTCAAATTCAGTGCACCAGCTCCAGGGGAGGCTTTCTCTCTCTCTGTCAACTCTGGGGGAAGGTCCTTGTCATCAATCTTCCCCTGGTCTAGGAGTTTCTCAGCGCAGGGACCCCAGGTCCAAAGGACACACTCAGCTCCCGGCTCTTCTTTCTTGGTGGTATGAGGTCCCTCTCCTCTCTGCTCCATTCTCTCTTTTATATCTCAAAAGAGATTGACTCAAGATACAACATAATCCTGTAGATTGAGTCCTACCTCATTAACATAACTGCCTCTAATCCTGCCTCATTAACATCATTGAGGTTAGGATTTACAACACATAGGATAATCACATGAGATCACAAAATGGTGGACAACCACACAATACAGGGAATCATGGCCTAGCCAAGTTGGTACATATTTTTGGGGGACACCATTCAATCCATTAACATGCCTCTTCTGTGTTACCCTGGGACTCTTTAAGGAGCCAAGGGTGGTGGGGTGGGGGTGTGAAAGTGGGGGTCTGACATTGGTAACATCTTCTAGCAAAACCCCAACCTGGGGGAAGAAAAAGTGCTAGAAGCCACCGTCTCTACTCTTGTTCAAAGAACTCAACTTGGCTTTGTCTTGGGTTCCTGAAAGATAGCCCTTGGAATTCCCCATCAATAGAGGGGCTATCGTCTTCTAAAGAGCCAGGCAACACTTAAACATGTGAAGAGAAGTGGGACCCAAAGATCAAACCTGGCAACTAACCTTAGAAAGGGAAGGAGGCATAATGCAATCAATTATGCATGTTCAATGATTCAGTCAAACTTGACTATGCAATGAAGCCAATAAAAAACTTTGAACATGGAAGTTCCTTTTGATGATGCATGTGGGAGGACGGGGCATCTCTGGGACAAGAAGCTCCACTCCAAACCCCCACCCCCTACCTCACCTGTGCATCTCTTCTTGTGTATCCTTTTTTGGTTATATTAAATTTGTTGTGTGTATAGCCGTTTCCCTGAGTTCTGTGAGTGGTTCAAGCTTATTATTGATCCCACCAGGGACAGTGAGAGCCAGTAGGGCCTGGTGTCTGCCTATTTGGTATTCAGAAGAAAGAGTCCTTCTAACTTGTGAAGACACAGCTCTGGGTGGCTGCGAGACAGAAGATGGCTGAACAGGCAGTCAATCTGAAGGACAGAGTCCTTCTAATAGTAAGGTCTGACTTAACCCTGTGTAGGTCAGACAGAGAAAGTGCCACTGGTTGGCTGGTGTCAGAAATAATGAATGAACGGGAAAGCATGGATATGAATAATCTTCACATTTTGGGAGTCGGCCTTATGTCAATTTTTATTTACTTATCTACTCTCGATGCAATTGTAAGAACGTGTCAAGATGTAAACAATTTATTCCCAGGAAAAATGTGTTCATGACTGCAATCATGTACAACTGAATCAGCTGGTGCCACTCACCTAGGTGGTAACTCACTCCCTCCTAGCCAACTGGCCAACCTTTCCATTTCAAAGGACTTCAAGCTGAAGCTGATCTTATCAATCATTAACCCCTACCTTTCCTTTGTTCTCCATGTATATAGACCCCTCTCTTCACTTGAATGGTGGAGTGCCTTGTATTTTTACTTAGCGCTGCCCAGCTAGAGCTGTATTACTCCTCAATAAAACTCCTTTTCTTTCACTCCTAACAGAGTACGAGATTTTCTTCTTTGTCACTTGCATCCTACTTCAAGAAAATTCAGGCCATCACTCCTTGACCTCACTAAACTTTGTGTCTCCTTCCTCTAGAAAGATAAACATCCACTTCCATCTTCCACTTCCCCCCACAACCTCTGATGAAACGGTCTTCCTCCTTATCAAAGTCAGTTCCTCCACCCTTCTTCTGACCCCTTAATTCCAACCAGAATCATGTTAAGGTTGCCTCACAGACAAATCTCTTAGACATTTTTTCAGTCCCCTTGTCATCTCATTTGTTTGCTGCTTCCTCTGGTCCTCTGCTTTTCCTTGACTCCCATGTAACACTATTTTCTTGATCCTCTGCTACATATTTGAACTCTCTTGCTTTATCATTATGGGATTCCCTTCCTCCATCTGTCATAAAAATGCTGATAGGCTCCATTGTTCTTGTCACTCCATAGAATTTCCCTGGGAGATGTCAAATTATCTCATGGTTCCAAGTACCATCCGCAAGCTAGTGAATTCCAAATCTCTGTCTCCAGCCCTGCTACCTCCCTCAACTTCAGATCCATCTACCCAATTGCCTGCTCAACCTCTCTGCTTCAGCTGAGATGCTTGAGGCATCTCATACCAAACAGGTCCAAATCTAAACTCATCAATTCCCCTAAATCGCCTCCTCCTTATTGTATCATCTATCTTAATCAGTGGTACCATCCATGTGGTGACCCAAGTTGGAAATCTGACTCCCTCCTTCCTAGGTTCTTTCTTTTCGCCTTCAGTCTTAATTTCCAATAATCAACAGAACTTGCCATTTGACCTTTCAAATATTTCTTGAATCTCTCATTCCTTCTCCATCTCCACTTCTCTGACCTAATTCAAGCCACTATTGTCTCTTACCAGGGTGATTTTAACAGCTGCCTAATGTGTCTCCCTACTTTCTTTCATGTCCCTTTTGAGTCTGTTATCTCCCCTGCAGCCAGACGCATCTCTCAGTA